TAAATGTATGACAAAACAGTTAAGTAACCTAGATGACCTGGTATTAACATTACTGCATACTTTTGTCCTATAGATATTGCATGCTTTTCTCTCATTTTGCTTAGCTTCAGCAAATGCTCCAATGTGAGTCAATGAGTTGGCAAGAAGATGATGACTAGAGAAGAGAGGGAGGGAGGTAGAGAAAGATGGATGGAGAGAGAGGGAAAGAGAGAGGGGGGAAGGGAAAGAGGAGGCAAAACAAGGAGAAAAGGGTACGATAAGATGTACATGTACATGTACCTTGTCATTACTAACATTGTGGCTATAGTAATTGATTGACTTCCATGAAACCTAATGAACAGATACAAGAACAAACATAGCCAGCCTTAGTTCTCTTGATTGGTATATACTAGCTCACTTGTTTTGTAATCTAAGAGCACTTTCCAGATATGCCTGACTTTCTTCATAATGACCAGCATTACTCAGTAGTAAACCAATGTCAATGTAATTAAAATAAATAATAACAGTTATGATACAAAATTTACAATAATTTTAAACAATACATGTACATGTGTATGATGAATCAAGAGAACATCGATAAAACAATACTTACATCAACATTAGACATTTCAGGATGATCCTCACTATGTGTTAACATTATTAGATACCTAACTCTATGCAGTAATCTCAACGCCACAACATTCCTCTCAGCCCCACAGCAATACTAAGCCAAACGGAACTATATAAAAAAAAATCAGTGATAGGCTTAGTCGTTGAAATTATCATGATCATGGTTTCCCATAGGATTTTGACATAATGCTCTCAGTGAATTTTTAAAGTTGTTCCAATTGTTGATAAAATATTGCGCAATGTGTTTTCCCAAAATTTAATCAAACATTGCAATGGTAAAATTTTTATTAAACATATAGAAGTTCTAATACTGTGTAAAAATTTTAAGCAGACTCTAATCAAAATTGGGATTTTTATAAATTTAAAAAGTTGCTTTAAAATTGGGCCAAAGACATGGTACATGGTATTTGGCCAAAATTTGCCGAATCTCTGTGTTTATAATTTTCAGATAACATGTCCCTATGTTGTACAGAAAGTCGAAGCTCATTCTGATCAAAATCAGATTTTCATTAATTTTTAAATTTTGCTAAAAATGGGGACAATACCAAAGACTTTGGTTATTGACCAAATTTTGCCAAAAATTGCTCAAAGAGAAATTTTTCTGATACATATACATGTCCTGATGATGTATCAAAGTTTGAGCTCATTCTGATCAAATTTGGACTTTTTATGAATTTCAAAGACTTGTCAGCTCATAAAGCATGCCTTTTAGCTCACTTAGCATACTTTATGGGGAACTAATAGTACAAAACATAAAAAATTTA